CCCTTCATGCTGCTGATGACGTCATTGATTCTATAAATAGAAGGATGACAGAAGGGAAAGAAAATAAGGTCAGAGGTAGCGTCGAAGGTCAATGCCATGCTCGCGCACACACACGCACGCACGCACACGCACACGCACGCACAGACACACACACACACACACACACACACACACACACACACACACACACACACACACACACACACACACACACACACACACACACACACGCAAACACACACACACACACACACACACACACACACGCAAACACACATACACAGACACAAAAACACACATACACACACGCACGCACGTACACACACGCACACACACACACCCACACCCATATACGCACGCACACTTGCACACACACACACACACACACACACACACACACACACACACACACACACACACACACACACACACACACACACACACACACACACGCACGCACGCACGAACGCACACACACACACACACACACACACACACATACACACACAAACACACATATACACACACGCACTCACGCACGCACACACACACACACGCACACACACACACACACACACACATACACACGTGTCTATACATATTCATTATATGTGTGTGTGTGTGTGTGTTTGTGTATATGTGTACGCATATGTGTGTGTTTGTGTGTATGTGTACGTATGTGTATGCGTGTTTGTGTGTGTGTGCCTTTGTGTGCACGAGCGGATACATACACACATACCCTCAAGGCCCATCCATCACGCTCGGCGAAGCAGTCTCGCTCTATTCCCACGGGGTTCGTGCGCCCGGGGAGGACTTCCACGCGTGCGCTGTGAGGGCGGGGGCCGGGGGGGAGGGGGCGGAAGGAGAGAGGAGGAGGGGAGGGCGAGTGGGAGGAGGATTGAGGGGGAGGGGGAAGAGGAGGGGGAAGGGGAGAGGGAGGAGAGGACGGGGGACGTGGGATGCGGAAGAGAAGAAGGAAGAGGAGGGGGGAGGAAGAAAGAGAGGGTGAGGAGAGAGGGAGAGGTAGGAGTGGAGGGAGATGGGAGGGGGGGAGGGATGGAAGAGGGGGAGGGGGAGCGAGTGGAGGAAGAGAGGAGGGAGGGGATGGAGTTGGGGGAAGGAAGGGAGGGGGAAGAGAAGAGGGAGAAAGAGTAGAGGAAGGGGTTGGGAGGGAGAAGAGAATGGGGATGGGAGAGGAGAAGAAAGGGTGGGGGGAAGGAAAGAAGGGAGAAGAGAGGAGAGGGAATGAGAGGGAGGAAAGAAGGAAGAAGAGAAGAGAGGGTGGACAGAAGGGAGAAGAAAAGAGAGGGTGGACGGAAGGGAGAGGAGAGGAGAGGGGATGGGATGAGAGGGAGGAAAGGAGGAAGAGGAGAGGAGAGAGGATGGGATAGAGGAAAGAAGATAGTGGAGAGGAGTAGGAGAGGGAGGGGAGCTGAGTTACGTAGTGAGGGGGAAGGAGGGAAAAGAGGAGAGGTCTGGGGAGGAGAAGTTAGGAAAGAGCGCCAAAGAAATGGCCTGGAGGAGAAACAAGAGAGGGAAAGGGGAAAGAGAGGGAGGAAAAAGAGGGAAGAGTTAGAAGAAGAGACGAGAGATTGAGCGGAAAAGGAGGGAAAGGAGATGAGGAAGGAGGAGGGAAGAATGGAGAAAGAACGGAGGGGAATAAAGAGGAGAGGAGAGAGAGGGAGAGGAGAATGAAGGAAGAAGAAAGCAGGAGAGGAAGAGGTAGAAGAGGAGGATGGAGGATGGGAGAGAAGGAGATAGAATAATAATAGGGGGGAGATGGAGGTTGAGAATGAAGGAGGAAGAAGAGCAAAGTGAGGAAAGGTGAGAAAGAGAGAATGAGAAATGGAGAAAAGGGGGACGAGGAGAGGGATGAAAAGGAGAATGAGAATGAGATGATGGTGATGATGATGATAATGATGGTGATGATAATGGTGAAGAGGGAAGGAGGACGAGAAGAAGGAGAGGGAGAGAAGAGAGAAAGAAGGAGGGGAAAAGGTATAGGTGGAAGGGAGAGAAGAGGAGGAGGCATGTAAGAGGGAGAAAAAATAAGAATACGAATAAGAAGATAAAGGGGAGAATGAAAGAAAGGGAGAGAAGAGTAGAGAAGAGAGAAGGAGTGAAGAGGCCCAAGGGGGAGCGGAGGAGGAGGGGCTGGAGGACCATATTAGTGTCGAGTGGGACTTTGATCATTTAAGTCGCTTTTGTGAAGAGGAGAGGATGGAGGCCAGGAGGCACGGGCGCCGCCTGCCGCCTCTCCTGTCTCTTATCTCGCTGTCTTTGTCTGTCTGTCTGTTTGTTTGTTTGTTTGTGTGATTCTGTGTATGTGTCACTGTCTTCCTGTGTGGATGTGTGTTTGTGCTTGTGTGGTGTACCCACGCGCACGTGTGTACGTATGTCCATGTGCATTCGTGCTCATTTATGCATAATTCCAATCTGTATAAATTTACCTGTGTATGTGCATCAAACGCAGCCTTTACACCCCCTGTCTCGCCCGCAG